GCATAGCATACATCTGGTCTAGTACCCATTGCAATGTATAGTAGACAACCCATCAATGAACGAAATGGTCGTTTCTCCATTACTTCTCTCTCATCCGTTGTCTTTGGAGAGTCATCTCGACTTAACTTCAATTTGATTGATTGAAACGCTTAGCTACTTCCTCGATGTAGTGGCTATGTGACATGGTTCGAGTCTTCTTGTTTATTGCATGATTTATTTCCCTCGACCCAAATCTTTGATACGAAACCGTTGAGTGATTTTTGATTTGACTTAATTCTACAATGCTTATGGCCGCTATTAGCATGTCATCAACGTATAGGCAGATGTTAATTACAGACTCAGGTCGATTTCGAACATAGATGCATGAATCAATCGCTGAAGGTTTGAACCCAATTTTAAGTAGGACGTCGTTGATGGTCTTGTTCCACACGTGAGCCGCTTGCTTGCGGCTGTAAAAAGGACGGTTCAGTTTCAGTAATTTGTCTTTGTCACATTTGGATCCCTCAGGCACTCTCATGTATATCAACTCATCGAGCATTCCATAAAGAAAAGCAGTATCGAAATCAAAATCTTGTAACAGCATACTGATAATACCATGCGGATGGAGCTCAAGTTTGCTACTGGTGCGTAGGTTTCGAAGAAATTTATACCAAATCTTTGACAATATTTCTGTATAACGAGTATCTCCTTGTATCGAATGATCGCTCCATGTTCGTTCTTCTTTATCGCGAAAATCCACTTTGATTCGATAGTTTTCATACCAGATTTGAAATCTACAACATCCCGTGTGTTGTTGCGAACTAATGAGTCAATCTCATTCTGAATAGCTTGCTCCCACTGATTTTTGCACTCTTCACTGGTTGCGTCGCTAAATGATGCTGGCACATCGGCCATGAATGCTACCATGCCATCATCATCATTAATCTGTGAACGCTTTGGTGGTCGCACATCCATATGATCACAGTCATCGTGCTGACGGTCTTCTTCCACTGGCTCGAACACAACTATGCGTCTTTCTGGAGTGGCATCGGACTAAATCTGCAGGCGCTGTGGAGTGTGAGGCACATCACGCAGCACGTGATGCTGACTATGATTAGGTTGGCAACGATGGATCAGAGGATGGAATCCAATTGCATTCCTCCCACTGAGTAAGTAATTGTCATGTGTGATTTCAGTTTGTGGTGGACTCGCATACTGAGTGCTTGATGTAGGAATATGGGTATCAACCGCCAAAGGCATTCTCTCGTCGTTATCAACTAAGTCGTCATCCATAATCACATCATTGCTTTGTGTTGGCTGTGAAACACAAGGTGCCATGTTTTCATCATCATCAATTAGAATCTGAAGATACTCATGAGTCTTATCCGTATTTTCCGCATGAGCGATGCAGGATACTCCGCGTTCATCTAGAGCAATTGAAAGGCTTGTTTTTACTTTTCAGTAACATGATTGAACACACGATAACTTTTGCTAGGTTCCATGTACCCCAGCAACATGCAGCGAAATGATGTCGCCTTGAGTTTGTTCGTTGAGACTTGTCAATATGTGCGTACCCCCTTCCGAGAACCAAAGACACGAATATGATCGAGGCCTGGACGAGAGCTAAAACAAACTTCGTATGGTGTGATATCAGTGTTCACGGTGCTGGTCATTCGATTCAACAGGTACACAGCAGTATACACTGCATCAGCCCACCATCGAGTTTAAATTGCCGTGTACAGCATCATGCTTCCTGCCATCACCATCACGGTTCGTTCTGCAAGCCCATTTTGTTGAGGGCTATATGGTGCAGAGCGTTGGTGAATGATCCCACCATCAACACAAATCTTGCCAAACTTATCGTTGACGAATTCAGTCCCATTGTATGACCGAACGATTTTGATTCGAGCACCTATCTTTCGTGCAAGCTCGATTTCCATGTTGAACTAACAAAGAAAGTAGTTATCATTGCCGAGTTAGTCTGTTGATTTCTTCGTTGACTTCAAGATTGTGCCTTGGGCTCAATACCTGACACTTTAGTGCAGGTGTGGGTTCAAGCAGAAAAAAGTGAATATATTAAACTGTTAGATCCTGGTTCATCAATCCAATTACATCCAGTCTAAAAGTTACATGCATATGCTTGTAGTTAATGCTGCAACATCAACGTCAACATCAACTGAATCTGCAACAACAACCACCACCATGCGGTTGTCATCCTAGTGTCTGGCGGGTTATGTAACATAGATAGCAGATAAATATTTTACACCATACATGAAATTATATTCCGATTGATAACTAGCACCCCTCGTATCTCGCGGACATCACCGCTTTGAGTAACATTACTCCGATGTTACTGGTTACTTGACCATGGTAGATTTGTCCTTCATCAAAAACAGATAGAGTAATATGACGTACCCGTTACACTTTGCATTAACAGATTGTTTCTGCTTCTGATTTTGATTAGACGTCTCCCCTCTCCAACCGTTGTCACCATCAGAATCTGAAGATGTTCCGAGGCGCTACAGGTAAAAATAAATTTGGGTAGCGGCGATGGAATGGACTTAGATAGTTTGACAGTGTGCACAGTGCTATGGCAGTATAAGGTCCGTTAAAGGACCAATAAAGCGGGGCTTGGATCTGACAATTCTTACCAAAAAAAAGATATAAAACTATGTCTCCAAGGACACCCACACTATCATTTTTTCACCAATTTCTGGCGTTTTCTATTTATTACTTCACCTTGGGTTCGGTTTATTGTGTTCAGACTGATGTTCTCGAATTTGGACAGCAAATTTTCTGTAGATTATATTCCGCGTCGGAGGCTTAGGAGAAATACGCTTTTGAGACTCTTCTCTGTTTAAAGTACCGGCATTTCATAACCCGTTCGCCAAAAAAGAGGGTGAACATTTTCGTGCATGAGCCACATTGTGCGCAACCCCAATTATCGTCAATAGCCTAGTAGCATAAAATGGTGCTTTGACGCATTATCAGCGGAATGTTTATCCACACAATCGACGCTCTGATCGTCTGTGGATCCCCAGCTGTGGACATCAAAAGCCCACTTCTCATTTACTGAAACAGCATATCTTAAAAATGCAGCAATCAAACGTGGGTTTCAATCTAAAATGATGGCTCAGGCGATCCATGATAACGAAATATGTGATTCAATATCAACCCCGCTATATGTTCTTCTATACCTTCGGGTGAGCCCTGCGAATTTGCTGAGCTGGTATAAAGAATCCAAACAGCGATGAAAACAGGTATGAAAAGGTGTAGCATTCTACTTGTAAATCTGAGGTCCTCGAAAGGCTCACCCATGGCCTAAACGGCCACCGGAAGCGTATGTTATTGCGTCTCCAGTAAAACGTGTAATTTAGATTCTTGTCTTTTTGCCCCGACGACATTCCGTGGACGGAACTTCGTCTTAAAGACAGCATGAACTGCATGTGTAGGAAGGAGTTCTTTATTTCAGATGCCAAACGATGAACGCGGTTACTTCTCAGGGTCCCACAAGCTCGCCAACGTGCAGTAAAGTTCTGTCGAGACCTTTTGCGCAAGAACCATCAATCACGCAAATTATTAAATCACCCAGTTCGGTTGATCGTTTCTTGTTTAACTGCTTAATCCATCCAGCTGGTCATTTATTGCCCATTGTAAGTACCGCGTCATCTTCGCTGATTCGTTTTCCGGTGAGTTTCATTATATGTGAGTAAACTCGACTAGTAGTTGCCCTAATTTCTACTGTCTTCGCGTGAAGCGCCACCTTTCCGAGCGCACCGAAGTCCTGGTAAATACTGCCACTGGAAGCTCATTATGAGGATGGCAAGAGTCTTCTAAGTGGTTACCCATAAGAAAAAAGAACCTTACCAAGACCACAGACATATCTAATTTTGTCATCAAATCTACTATCAAGAATAAGAGCAATGTTTTCGAGACGTGGTTTGTGCATAACACCAAGGTATTGTGATTCTTTGCGCAAGCCGTTGATATGTCAGACCAGATGTGGTCTACTACGAGCGCCATGGAGGCATGCAGAATGCTATGTCCTTTTTACAACCGCTCGACATAACGCATCGACTCATCGACTTCAAGATAGAAAGGAGCGGTAGCCTGGCGGAAAATCGGGACTCTGGTATCGAGCTGGTTGTGGGAGTTGATACAATGAAGAGTCATTTGACGAGTCACGGCATTTGGTGGTACCTCTCAACATTTTGACACCAAAATAGAAGTTGATCTCATTGATTGTAGTATATGCAAGACCATCACGCGGATTGGATTTGAGAAGATAGACAGAAAAGAGGCTACGAAGAAAACATTCCGCGTGGACACAGCACATTTCCTATTCATCTCATTAAACAAGATACAGGGCCAATTAGCTCAGCGCGCTTCCAGCCATCGACTGGAGCTCGGCTTTGCATCAACTTTAGGTAAATGTCAATTTTACTTTCCTTATGTGTGCTGTCAAAGGAGTTTCGCTTGGTGTCATCAATACTCGGTCAACTGACCAAGGCAGAAACAAGTAACAAGTGTTTTTAATATGGTAAGCTAAGACATCGCGCTTCTCTTTGAAACTTGCCTCAAGGGCTCCGCAGGGCAGTGCGTTTATGTCAAGCAATCCATAGAGATTTATTTAAGTTGGATTGCATATGGATGACATGTTCGTCGCAAAAAAAAAATTAGATCAAGGAAGTGCTCAAGGAGTTGTTTGAAATGAAGAGGCTAGGTAAGGTGAAGTTCATTTTGGGCGTACAGGTCACTCAAACACTTATAACCAAGCAAACTTTGTATGGACGACGTGTCAAGCAATTAGACCGACAAGAAGTCAGGAATATGGATAACCGATTCGCATCAAGATTAAGGTTCTCGTCAACGCATTCGCATACAATAAAAAGGTTGTTTGGAGATACACTCAAAGCTGATTGAATACCTGTATCACACCAAGACATATACTCGACCGGATGCTGCCAACGAGATAATGCAGCTGTGACGCTCCTTGGAATACTGTTGACTGCAACATTGGGGTACAGCTATCCTCGTACTACGCTATCTGAAGACTATACGCCAAATCGATATCCTCTATCAAGGCAGTTGCAGCATTGCGGGTAAGGCATATTCAGATACTGATTAGGTCAGATAACCGATTTTTGACTCGTGCTATTACGCATCGCACTCGACCAAAGAACTTCTTGACTGCATAGCATGAGAGTCATACACTTAGCCTCCGCCAAGCTGAGTGCAACCGCTTGCTGGTACTTCGACTTAAATACGCCTGCAAACATGTCCATGAGTTTTGAAATTGAACGTCTGTCGCAAGTTTGAGGTACATAAATTTGTAAATATAACTGAGGAGCGATCGCTTCAGCCAACAACGTCAAAAACCGTGCTCGGACGAAGCGCGTGATCATCATGCACTACTTCATCCGCGAGAAATGACACGAAGTAATTTTGAACATCGAATGCATCAACAAGAAGTGTCTGCTTGCGGATCTGCCGACGCATGCACTCAAAACCACGATGCTTAAGTTTGTTCGCAAGGCAGCAGATATCAAAACTAGGTCAGTGCTAAGGAGCAACAAGTATTAACGTCGAGTGAAAATGCTAAGATGATGACGCTCAGTACTGTTGAAGGGCGATGTTACAGTAGAATGCACAATTGTGCGTGTAATTAGCCTTGTGGTAAAAACTAGATGCTTCTACTTGTTCTCTGATGATGGTTGCGGCCAGTCCGCTACTGAACCTCATGTCTCGATGCACTACTAGTAACAAGTCGGCAATAAATGGACACATCATGACTAGAAGCAGCAACCCTGAAAGGACAAAAGTCCCAAAGCGTCCGAAAATCCCAAACTTACGGTCCTTATAGACAGCATGCTTCACTATATCCAGCACACATAAGAGCGTGCTGAAATATGTGGCGCAAACGAAATCTTCCAAAAAGCCTAGTGCCATGACCGCGGCCTTAATTTGTGGAGTATACTCTGCGATGCTACTATACTTGACCACGAGTGATTTAAGCGCGACCAAACGACTGACAAAAAGTACAAAAGCACAAACGTGTAGAT